TAATTAATTGTATTTCATTATTTCATTTTATCGACTTATATATATTTTTATTTTTTTGACTTATGTATATATTTTTATACTTTAAGCTGTTTATAGTATAGGTCGGCAAAAATTCCGACTGGGTGTCGACTGGGCAATGGGTATCGCTGCTTAGAAGGTCTTGATCTCAAGCTAGCTCCTGTTAGAGACATTACATAGCAGGCAATCGGCTCCCAGCGAAGGCTGACGTATTTCCTACTACCTTACATGCATTCTCTAAAGTAGGTGAATGGGTATGATGAGCTACTTGGCAGGTATAAAACGCTAGGAGTAGAGACTCCTGCATCAAAACTCAGCATGGAGGAAAATAAATGAACGAAGCGAATCAGGACATGGGTCCAAACAGGCACATCGTAAGAACTGTATTGTCAGCGGCCACACCTCCACTGCAACGGTAGCAGGATGCGGTGGTTGTAGAAGACACGGACCAACAAAGCGCTATAAGTATATTATTAATGCAAAAAAAAGAAAATAAGAAAAGCTTCTTCGCTCTCCTGTGCAGGCGACCGAGGATTCCAACTCTGACAACCAAGAGAGAAAGAAAAAATGCAAAGACGTAGCCCGGAAGCCGTCTAAGTACGCAGACAAACCGACAAAGTCCAAGGTAGCCGCGGCAGTTAATGAGATTGTGAAACGGAGTTTCAGCGTCGCGCTCGTAGACCTCAAAAACCCTCTAGAACAAATGCCGCAGTAGTGGTGGAAAATAGTGAAAATTAAGCTATTTTAATCCTCCACCTCTTCTCTAGAACCGAGCGCACCCATGTCGCAATTTGATGGAGCAAAATTTCGACAGAGAAGATATCACTTCCCCTACAGGAGGTGGAGCTGGTGAAAGAACCCAGCTAGCAGTCTGATGGTCCAAAACTAAGAGTTGAGGGTACTCCAAACGAACCTTCACAAGAGTAAGATAACCTTGTCAAGCTTCTTCTCAATCTAAAGAAAAGGCCCCGACTTTTCTTTAGTCCAGGAACCATGGATTGCATCGAGTAATGTGGTAGCTGGGCTGAAGTTATAAAACTATATGTTATACACCCCGAACGTATTTAACAAGGTAAGATCAGCGATATTGATGAAGAAAAGTTTATATTCCCATATTGATTACAGTATTTCGACAGATTATCTGACGATTGTGACAGTGAAAGGTGTCAAGGATGAGTCTTTACTCCTTGCATCCTACTACATGCCACATAATTGCGAGGCGCCAACGGAAGAGCTCCAGAGGCTGGTGACTACATCCATCATGTGAAAGCAGCCGCTATTGGTGGGCGCAACGAACACCATACGGTTTGGGGTGGCCCAATATAAATCATCGAGGTGAGGAACCTACCTACCACTTCCAGAAACGTTCTAGACACAAGTAGAGAAGCATTGATAAAAAAAAAACTAAAAGAATGCTAAGTACAACATCATTCTCTGACCATAGATACATCTACTTCTCCATTAGATCGGAAACAAAGATTAAGAACGGGGTTAAGAGATATCCCAGGAGTACAAACTGGGATTTCCACAGGCAGACACTATTTGGCAAGAGGCTTAGATTTTGCGTGTGAAACGCTTGAAAAGGGCGTAACTGTATTTACCAATGATTTTCAATACGCTTTCCCTATGCTGCGATTCAAGCACAAAACGAAGCCCCTTGGTTTAACAGGAACGAATATAAGAATCTTCTAAGGGACGAGTAGTTGGTGCGCAGGACAAAGCGAGAATTCCGGAAAAACTTTCCAAAAGCCTTTTTTCTAAGAAATCAAATGGAAAACCCTCTATAACTCTTTGTAAGTGCCTAGGCATCTGTTGCTACAGGGTAAAATAGTTTTGTTCACCTAACGGTTGTACCTATGACATAAAAATAATGTAGCCAGCCTTAGGGTTATATACTATATATAAATGATCGGGATGGCGAGAAAAGTTGAATTCCGGGTGATATCTTGATAAAACTTGGTAATATGTCATTAAACCCTTGACGTACTTTCACGAGTCTGACTCGTGGTACAATTTTTGTGCCTAACATGTTTATCACGAGTCAAGCTCGTGGTGCATAGAAGTGTACATTTGATGAAAAGAGAATTGAAATTTTCCCGTTATTTTCAGCAAATTACATTATAACATAACACATTGRTGCAGTTGAGTACATTATCTACTGTGTAATTATCCATATTTTTTTTACGCATTAAAATTAAATCGTATTATTATTATTATTTTTTAATTTGTAAAACAAGCGTGCGACAGTTCGTAAGCATCAGAACTGATTGGTTTAAAAGTTGTGTGTTTCATTGCGTTAATTGATACGTCAGGGGTTAATCAAAAACCTGTAAAGTGCCATAACCAAGCACCTCATTAGTATAAAACTGTAGTTTGTCACAAGAATTCGCAGTAGCAAGAGGCACCCATGATCAGAAAATTTTGAAATCTAATAAATTCTCTAATAAGTTTAATGTACATATCTCCGAAACAACTACAAAAACCAAATTTGTTCAGCTCAAATATTATAAGAACTCGGAAAATCCTATAACGATACTGTTCAAAACTAGTAAAAGCCGAATAAATGAATAATTAATTGCACCATAAACGGTTTTGACCTTCGGGACTGATTAAGATTTTTGTGAAAATTTCCTGATTTTCGTGAGAAATGCACTGATTCCCTGGTTTCCTCCTGAATCGGAGATTTTTTTTCAATGTATTTTGTTTTTGAGCGAGTGCGTGAAAAATGTGGTAGCATTACAGCGTTGGTGTTCGGGTTACATATGCAACGGGACTGATTTTGAGTGAGACCGAAATAGTAACCCTAATTATGAGTGAAAATTTAGAAATTTGCCACGAAAAGAGACATATACTATGTATGCAAATTAATAGTATTAGTAAAATAAGTTGTAATTAGCTATTTCTTTAAGTTTAGTATCCACTCAGATCGTCCGTTAAGTCTTAACACAAAATCTAGTGTTTTGTCACTGTGAATAATTAGGATTATTCCGCGAATAATCCAAGAGTGCAAAAACACTTCCACTTAACTCAACACTATTACTATGTTGTGTGTATATATAAATACGAGTATGTATATTCAATGTTGTGGGCACTCTTCTTGTCAGAATAAGAAGGCTTTCTTTAATTGGTGTGACCTCCGAAGTCCGAAGACACTGCGGGGGTTTGATAGACTGAATGCAATTTTAATATCCCATTTCGACGAAAAAACAAAACCCCACAATTGATCAAGTTTTAATCCATCCGTATAATAACAATATTAAGGACCGAAATAAATAAATAAAAAAAGAAATAAATACAATTCTATAAAATTTCGTAAATCACTGGTATTGGCTTTCGAAACCTGGTACATTTTATTCATTTTAGCATAACTTCTGGAGTTCAGCGTTTGGGAGTAAAATAATAAAATTGTTCTGCCTTGCTAGATTTTAGTCCGCATGATACGGCCCTTCGGTTTGTGTCGTTTAATATTGCTTGCATAAAGTTAACAAGGGTATTTTGGAATTCCTCTCCAAACGAAATTGCCATATCATCATTGTAGCTCACATAGTATACCCTGTATTGCTGTGCATCTATTCAAGCCAGGTTCATAGATGTCCAAATCTAGAACTCTCAGTAGCCTTAAGCCAGATGTTATTGAATGTGCTTTCTTAGTCAAGGTAGACTGCGAGAGGGTTTTATTTTACTTCAAGACATATATTAAAAATCGATCAACATAAACTTCCCTGTACAAAGTAGTGAACGTAATAGAGGTTTTACACCTCAAACAATATACAATGGCTGTCCTTCTGGATATAGAAGAATACCATAAAAGCAAGAGGTAATCGCCATTGTTGAGGCTCTATCAAAGACGACGTAGGAATCTATGGATGCTTATGAATAGTTTTGTAAGCAGAGGAATTCCCCAAGGAAGTACCCTTTCTCCTTTTCTACGCTTGGTGGTCCTGAACGTTATACTACTCCAATTCAACGGAAGAGGAGTGAAAGCAGTAGCTTATAGGGATGACATAGTGTTAATGGTATCTCGGTGCGGAGGTTACACCAATGAGCCACAAGAAATGGACTAGTTGTTAACCTTAATAAGACGGAGCTGTTACTATTCACGAATAAATAATCTACTTCAATCAACTTCCCTCACTCGGTGGTATTACAATTCTTCTACCCCCATAAAGTATTTGAGCATCGAGATAGATAAAAAAAACTGAATTGAAACATGAGAAACGTAAAGCGTATTACACGTGCAAAAGGATATTCAGCAAAAACTGATTAAATGCACTTGCGCCAACTTCAATAACCATTTCCGCTGGGAGCGATCAAGAGGGAGCTCAATACGTAATTTGAACAAAGAGTGCAGAATACTATAGATAGAATTCAACAACAGTATACAGGATATTGAAGCAAATGTGGCCAAACTATGACAGAAACCAAGCACTTATTACACAGGTCCGGGAAAAGTTTATACAGACTTACAGCTACTATTTGGAGAACTTTACTTTTTTAGTACATTAAAAATGGGAATGCCCGCCAATAGCACGTGCCGTTGCTGCAAACTTGAAGGAAGCAAGGAAATGCTTCCTCTTTTCCTCTGTGAGTATATATAGTAATAATACTTACACTTACCTCCATAACGAGGGAATATACATATGTAGCTTAATTGCAACGCCAATTTAAGGATGATACTAATCAGACTTTTATGTAGCTCTTGGGCTGCTACAATTGAGCTGAGAATAAACCGTCAGGTCCGGCGATTTGAAGGCCTTCAAACTTCCTAATTTTAATGAAATGATACTTGCGTTATACTTGCCTAGTATAACTTTGAATGCGGCTGAAACTTGGATATATTGTTGGTATATGAAACAAAGCTCCTTTTTGAATTTCAAGTTATGAATATAATATAAGACTGGGTCGCCATTCTAATTTGAATATCGCTGAAAAGTGCTTTAAAGTTTTTATTATTGTATCATAAATTAAAATAATAAAATCGATTTTGTTTATGTATAAAATATATCTGGAGATATACTATATATTCGTATTTCATTTATTCACACTCTGCATTTAAATGTTCTGCAAATGATGACATTGTTTATGRGTTGGACAATTTAATAAAGACTATCAGCTGATTTTAAGCTTAACTAAACTTTAAAGAAAAATTGGGATTCAGCTTGGCTATCACATATACATATTTATATTTATAATGATAACGACTATGTTGAGTTGCGCAATGAAGATGTATAAAAGTAGGTATGTAAGTATACAAAGACAGCTTTAACCGAAGCAAGCCTACATTATTGGAACGTGCTATGTGCTGTCTACTGGCCAAGCTTTGCTGGACTCAATAAAAGTTCTGGCTCCATTATACTTAATGGATGATTTTGTGGCATGACATATTTATTATCATGCGATATAATTGCGTTTGTAGAAGTACTGGCATCAGGTAATTGATCCGCTCTTGCCCAAATTTTCTGTATTACTGTGGCCTGTGAAGGTGATAAAGCAGACGAGCCATCTGATTCACTGTCGGATGAGGATAACAGAGGAGAAGGGAATATAAAGCTGGCGTTAGAAAAACCCGATTTTGATAAACGCAAATTGTTTGGCTCTGGTTGATTCACTACTGGCTCCGCAATAGTTGTGATATTATCTTCAATTTGACCTGGAACAAAAATCGACTGTGACCTTGAGCACATATTTGTAGTTATAGGAGTATTGGAAACAGATGTATGACTATTTGAAAGTATTGCACATGGTGACATAATTGTGGAAACGTTTGATGCAGTGTTCGTTCTTGTTTCGATATTCGAATGTATATTGATCTGTTCTAATTTCTGTTCAGACCCTATTGATGCAGGCGTTATGGTTGCTGTAGCCGTTGTAGATGTTTTATGTACTCCTACAGTACTTGCATTATCCGTAAGTCCAGAATAATTGTATGTGTTATTCGAAGTAGACGAGCTAGTGCCATGTATTAAAGCAGGTGTTACTTCGCTAGCTGTTGTTGTTGGCTTGATCGACAAAGAAGTTTCCATTAGAAAGTCGGTGTCCTTAGTATAATTTGGAGCAATGGGAGCGTGCGATTGTACTTCCGGTATCAATTTATTGTTCAGTGCAATACGCTGTCGTGACAATTTGCTAGAAGAACTCGAGCTTATAGGTTCTGAAGTTAGCGTTGTTGTAAAGGAAGGTAATTGCTGATCTAATGATACTTCTGGCATTTCGATTGAGTTTTCTCTTAAAGTTTTTTTTGAAGATACATTTGGGAATTTTTCAATTGATGTTGTGTTTGCATTGATGGCAGTTATATTTATCTTACTTTCTACACTTGAAATATTCCCGTCATTGCAATTGACTTTGCTATTTGACTCGGTATTTTGTATGCGTCTCGGGTGCTCTAGCTCATCTCTTCTTAAACACTCTGATTTTTTGGGAGTGGACTCTGTAAATATTATTTTTATTAATGTTATTGCTTTTGTGGATATGAGTCACAGGTTAGAAGATCATTGCACTCTTCTAAATTACTTCGCTAATAGACACACGCGTTCCACTTACCTCCTAGATTTTCCGGCTCTTTGATTATTGGAACTATTCTATTTAATGATGCTTTCTGCTCATTCTGCATAAAAAGTGATGTAGTCGCGATTTGTCTCAGTGCTTCCATTCCTTCATTCAGTATTTTATTACTGCCACGTTTGTGTGTAATTGGGTATTTTGGCTAAATAGTAAAAAAGTAGCATTAATAAGTGTGAAAAGTTTGAGTCAATACACAAGACTTAAGCATCTTGTTGTCGAAAGTAAAAGCTAAATATGGGAGTATACCCTTCACAATGGGCGCATTGAAGCCATTAAAAAACTAAATGTAAATGTGGGCTATGACGAACAGCAAATTCCAGGGATCTGCTTGAAAGATGTATGTAATACTTTATTAACTCAAGAATATACTACGACTGGAACAGGGCCACTTTCAAATATTCTATGCTGGCAGAATCTGCAGGACCGAGGACTTAAATAATAGCCAAACATATTATATTTTACCAGTAATGTTTTAACAACAATAACTAAAGCAACCGAATAATTTCTAATAACTGAGTGCGCCTGCCCAATTTGGAAGGGCCCAGAGTTTAAGACTTCCGTCATATTACATGCTTTATATAATTACTATCTATGGGCCATTCCATCAATTGGCGACATGATTTTGTACCCGTATTCCATTCAAGCAAAAGAATGACTATGTATTTTATTTTTTAACGACCTGAAAACTGAGTGTAAAAAATTTTGAAGTTATACAATTTTATGTAAAAAAATCTCAGATTTCTGAAAAAAATATTTTCAAAATTAAAAAAAAATTTCAGGATCGAAAAAAGAAAATTTTTTTAAAATAATTGATAATTTTTTTTTCTAGGTTGGTACAACTGTCCTTAATTATGATGCCTACAAGTTGCGCGATCTGTCAACCAGAGTGTTTACTGCAGCTGTTTATATCAATCGACCTCAGTAGTGTTTGTCGAATTTTACAATATTTTTTTACGGATTTGTGTTAAACTTTGGCCAAACACTCAACAAATATCATTGAGCCAGCAGCGTCTTCACCTGATATGACTCCCTGTGACTGTTTCTTATTCTCCACACTGAGATATTCACATCGGGAAACACTCTTCGACTCAATTAAAGACATCAAAACAAATTCGACGCGAGAGCCGAAGGCCATCTCGGGAAGTGCCTATAAAAATGTTTTGACGATTGAAAGAAGAATGGATGTTACTTTGAAGACGATAAAATAAATTTGGATGATGATTGAAATAATTTCGTTTKATTTATAAATTCCTCATACTTTCTTGACAGGATGTACATACTCAGGTATTAACATACTATATTTATTTTATATATTTTATATATGTATGTATATATGGTATATGCCTTCTGGAATGTCGGTATGTTTATATAATTAAATTAAGTTATAATAAATTACAACATGTACTAAAGGAACTTGTGTTCATAAAAAATATAGCTGCCAGTGTTTAAATCGCCACAGCCTGAACTACTGTTGTAGTCAAGGAGTGTAGTTGTATATTAACATATTAGTATATATATACTTTGCCTACGCTTAATAAAATCTAATTACCTATTTGTAAATCCTACTTCAAAATTAAATCGAACTTCTAGACTACAGCTTGTTTTAGCAGGTTATGACTGCGCGTAGAGTGGGAAGTGGGGTTTCCACGTGTGTTGTGAAACTTGTGCTGCAAATTTAAGATACTGGTTACATGGCAAACTATCCTCTATGGCTTTTGGGGTTCCAATAATTTGGCGAGAATCAACTAAAAAGAGAACGGCAAGGGTACACCCTAACAATAAGTGTACCCGAATCATTTGTGCGTTTACGACACTTAGAGTGTGATCGTCACACTAAAATAAGTCTTTTTGCCTTGTACTGATAATTTCGAACATGCTCATACGCACAAGCTCAAACCGATTTCGCGCTCTTTTTCTGTATGTATTCATGAGTTGAGCCCGACGAAAATTGTAAAGCAAAAGGAATAAGCGAAATTGAGAACACAACACTTGAGACAAACAATATGTGAGAGACATGTGTGTTGTTGTTATTCTTACATTAGATTCATACATGCATACATACATATTTGTTTTCCAATATGCACATAAACATATATACATATATGTGAAATGAAAATAAAAAGCCGTGTTTTGCTGATTCATTGCGTGTTACATATTCATATGTACTTATGTATTTAATTTTAAGGTTTACCACAAAGGCGTTACATATTTTATATGGATCTGGTCTTCAATGACTAGTAATACAAAAAAAAAAAACAAGAATGAACGAAATTGAGCATGTGAATTATTAAAAAAATAAATATAACTTATTCTGGTTTGTTCATATGCTTGTAATAACAGTGTAAAAATAGTAAACTGTCAATAGATTTTTTTCAGTAATGACATTGCCTGCTAAGACAAAACTCTTTCAGCCGGTTCACTACTTGCACGTATGGAAAGAAACTTCAATGCCACATTTGACAGAAGAGGCTTAAAATAAACCATTCTCTACAATATTGTTCTATTTCTTCTATTGGAGATTGTCTAGAGTTGTTAGATGGTGCAGCAACTAATGTTAGGGAAAAAAAATTCTCGTTTTGATACAGATCTTAAGCTTGGTGACGGTTCTGATGAAGTGAAGCTTTCTGTACTGAATTTATATGGATTAGAAACATTACTCTTTAATGTCGGCCAGGTCTGTATCCTGCATATGTGCAGCCGGGGGATACAGAAAAAACGCCACCTTGTGCCGTATGGACTAGTTTGTTGACCATATGACAACAACTTTTGGTTTTATTGTTCTTTTAACGTTGCAATTGATGAGATATCTGATATATTGGGCTCGCATAGCACACAAATTCTTGCAATTGAAGACAGCACAAAACAAAGTGAAGGCGAGCTGAAAGTTTGAAGTTCTTTAAAAATCCTTTTGAAGGATTCCAGCAAAGCAACTAATATTTTTAATGTTGACCTATTGACACCCATCAATCTTTCGCGCCCTTTCTCGCTTAACAGCCACTCAATTATCGTCGATAGGTTTCAGCATTACGTAGTTTGAGTTCCACCTTGTTGGGCATGAACTCTTTAAAGAAGTGTTAACTTATGCTGCAAATCGGCATTCTTGAAGTACCTTACAATTACTAGAATCTAGATCCGTTGATCTCTAAATGATTGTTCTAAATAATTATTTAAAAGATGACTGCTGCAACATGATCTCCTCAATGTTTTCAATATTAAATTTTGAGAATACACTTTTAATTTTAATTAAAATGTTTTCTGCGATGCTTTCCTCTGATTCCATTGACTTAAGACCCAAAATKAAATCCTAAAGAACGTTGATTTTTTGATAATGAATTGTGATACCCAAGAAATTTCGTTATAGATATTGGTTAGACCACATATCGACGGTGGCAGCTTATCCTGAAGTATCTGCAGCTATTTTAATTTCCGATGATATCAACCCATTTTTTCTTCACCGTTTTTGTGGAACTTTCGCCTTAACGTTGATGGACTAGGCAGCAAGTCATCCACATCTATGTGATCCCAATAGGCGGCAGTAATTTTGATAAAAAAGAACTGCACCATGCTTTTAAATCTGAGCCCGGCTACTGATGAAAACGGCTGACAATCCTGGAGAATCCACTGACTGCATTTTTAATAGCTTCTGCTTTGTCTGTTGCCGACACTTTCGTCGCTTCTCTTGGTTGCCTTAATGTCATGCAACATTTATGCTGAGATAAATTTGATGTGTGGCCAGCCACAAATTTCAGCACTTTTTGGCAGGTGCTGCAAAACAGCCACTCTTCCACGGTACCTTCTTCTTCCTTAACAATATAAAGTAAAATGTTCCTTATAACACTTTTTCCGTAATGTTTTAAAATGTATGTTCYACAATAAATTTTACTTTTTATAGAGTCCAGCGTTTCAGCAATTTTGTTTATTCCTTTTAAGGCATCAATTACATGGATAATATGATACGAGACTTTAGCATTGGCTCTCTTTTTCTCTCAAACGCGTTCCCTGATTATTTGACAGCGATG